ATACTGTAATAGCTTGTTGAATAGTTTTTTTGTAATATTCAAAAAGATTTACTTGTAATAAATTTAATCGTCTATTTTTATTGTTCTGTAAAATTGTTTTTTGTTGATATATTAAATCTGAATCTTTTATCAACTTGTCAAATTTATTATTTTTAATTAATCAGAAATCTTTTCTTCTCTTTCAATTTCATTAAATATTTTTTCATATAATTTCTGTTTTCTAAGATTATGTAATTCATTTTTATTATCCTGTTTTAAAATTGAGTTATCTATAAAATTTTTTAATTCATTATTTGTTTTAATTGAATTTGTTATTTCTTCTTTTATACTATTAAATATATTTTTATCGTTAAATTCTTCTGGTATAAAAATTGGTTTTTGTGGTGAAATTGGAACAATTGGTGGAAAAATTGGTTGTTGAGGAAATAAAATTGGTTGTTGAATCGATTGTTGAATAAAAGGTTGTGTTGCTTTTTCAATTATTGCAAACATTAAATATTCATTTATTTTTTCTTCTTTAATTCTTATATTATTTTGTTTTTTTATATTTTTTATCACAACAATTAATATATTCTTTAAAATTATAAACACATTTGCAACTTTGTATTTTAAACATTTTATTTTATTTGTAAAAAAAGAGAAAAATATTTGTATTTATATTTATTATGAAATTAATAAAAAATAAAATAAAATAAAAATATTCTATTAAAAAAATTAAATTTCCCCTTCCTCATCTTCATCCTTAATTTTAGGTATTTTATCCATTATTTGATTTACAACCAATTGAGAAAATGCTTGAATACTACTAACTTGTGTCAAATCTGGATGATATGCTATATCAATATTTCCATCTGAAATAAAAACTGGATAACCAGAATCATATTGACCAAACGTATTTCCCAACTTAATTTTTTCATTTATATCCATATCAGTTCTAAAACGTTCTTGATACATCCAATCTGAATAATTAATTACCATTATCAATCTATAATTAGCGGTATCATAAACTATATTTTCACCAGTGTTACTAGATATTTCACATGTTTTCTGTTCATCTTTTAAAAATTTTCTACACATTACTATATCATGTTCGTTAAAAATACAATCTGTTGAACAATTAATTTGTATACTATATTGTAATAATATATCATAATTATCTTTCAACTGATGATTTTTTA